CCCCCCAGAGTCTGATTTCTCTGTCAGCCCCTAGGGTATGATTCCTCCATCACCCCTTTGAGTATGTTTCTCTGTCACCCCCTAGAGTATGATTTCCGTTACTTTCTCAAAGTTCTGCTCAGAAAGAAAAACCCAATTGTGGTTGAAATAATATTCTATAAACATGACACGTTTACCCTAGCATGTCTAACAAATCAATCAAAACACAATTCATTCTTTTTTACAATGTTTATTTTATTATCTCTTACCATTGTTAACGGTATCACAACTTCTAACCACAGTACATTAATTCGGAGACCGGTGAGGACATGGTCGGGATGTACAAGTATTTTTTTTCTATAAATGTAGGATTTATAAATTGACATAAAATGTTTCATTTATTCCAAATGGAACATTTAATCTCACGAAAACCAATAATACTCAACAATAATGATCACCATTTATTTTCTTGACAATTTTAAGGTCGAAGATCAATAGGGGTTATATCATAACAACTTGGGTCAAACAGTGACAGTGTCGACAAACGATGGCGCTAATTAAGGACTCCCATACCGTTGCCAAAATCTGTACATATGAACTGGAGAAACATTTTTCACTGGCGTGACGATATAGCTTTAATAAATAATTTCTTAACAGAAATCGTAACTTTCATGAAAACAGAAAATGAAATATATAAATAAATAAAAATAACAAATTTGTTTCGAGTGTAAAATTGCCAGAAGCTATTATAACTCGGCTACTTCAGGTCAGTGTTAGACTCCAGGCCTGGTCCCACTATTGTTATATCCAAAACGAAATAAAGGGGGGACTAATGTATGTATGGTAAAATCTACACTTGGATTCTCTAATGATTCAGTGGCTGAGTGGGACAGAGATCCTTTAAAAAATAATAAAGGACCAGGGCCCATATTTCATGAAACAGTTCTCGTGCTCAAAGTCAGATTCTGTGCTCAAACCCAATTTCTTGTTCCTGCGATTAATGAATAAATCAAATCGCATTTTGCCAATGACATGGAAGAAATCTGAAAAGACTAAAAGCTGAAAATTTGTCAATGTTAACACTTAACTCTTTACTAGTGACATCTACGTAGTATAGGGAGTTAAAAGAAAGTTTACTTGAGCACAGAACTCATGCTTGAGGATGAGAACGGTTTCATGAATAAGACCAAGGTGTTGATTATCTCGCACACATGTCTTAATCAACCAGTACAGGAACATGCAACGCTAGAACTGGAAGTATTAACCAACATGTTGATGCGGACTGGTCCCGGTAGATCGACATTCTAAGTTTAAATTCAGTGTTGATTGAATGAACATATATATATATATACAATGTATAATGAAAACATTAATGGGATGACCATGCTCAGTTGTCCGGAAATAATTTGGCAAGAAATACAAATTACACATGCAAGCATTGTTCAACATTAATTTGTATGTTCAAAAGAGTGCAAAAACAAACTTAGTCTAATCATAAGTTACTAATTCAAAAAAAAAAAAAATGAATTTAGGTACGAGTACAACTTGAATAACTATAAAAAAAAACACCATCTTAAATGATTTTTTTTTTTTTTAACCAAATCAATTTTTCATATAGAGTACATGTATATCTTAAAACAGAAAGAACTATGTTTATGAAAAATGTATATTATGCTGACACACAAAAACAAACACTTAATTACGAAGTACCAGTACTCAAATGATTGTTCTATTGAACTTTTCATGATTAACATATATTCTAACAAAACTCAATACTAGGCTACTTAAATAACAGTCTTGAAAATAAATAAATAAAAGGATGCAATAACTTAATCCATGTCATGATGAGTTGGACATTTAATTAGTACATTTGTTAAGAGCATAATATAAAAAAAGTGATTTTTTTTCTCTCTTTAAAAACTGAAATAATTGAAACAGAGAAACTAATTGTAAGCTTGTAAAATATTTTTTTGGCGCCATATCAATGGTAATATAAATACAAACAAGAGTACCGCGGGGCGGAACAATATACGCCCGTCGAATGCCATATAGTGTTATATACTTTCTTACATTGAAATAAGATCTGCATCATTCTAAGAGTGGTTAGCTTACATATGCTATAAAAAATGTAGGAGAAAAAAAATCAAATACCAAAATGAACAAAGGGCAATAACTTTTGCAAAAATCATCAAATCAAAATTCTATTAAGGGAGACAACTTTATATCATGATTATAATGTATACCAAGTTTCAAAGAAAAGAGATCCGTTGAAAAATGTAGGAGGAGATTGCCGCACAAAAATCAAATACTGAAATAAACAAAGGGCAATAACTTTTGCAAAAATTGTTGAATCAAAATTCTTTTCAAGCAAACACAACAACATAGCATGATTATTTAGCCTACTAAGTTTCAAAGAAATCTGTCCTAAAATGTAGGAGATCTCCAGACAAAAAATCAAATACATGTACTGAAATGACCAATGGACAATAACTTTTGGAAAAATTGTTGAATCAAAATATTCTAATCACATATTATTATTCAAAAGGCCTACAAATGTGTTTGATGATTTCTTGATTTCTTAAATTAGTCCCAACCCCTAAAAAATTAAAATTAAATTAAAATAAAATCCGACCTACATATCCATTTTTTCAGTCATGCTACATGAAACATACATAATGTTTGTGCGGCCTTAACAAAACAACGAATACAAAATACCTCTCAAACGCTATAAATATTCCTGAAGTCCATTCTGAGTGTAATTATTTCAGGCAAATATGAGACAAACCCTGAGATTGTTTGCTGTCTGTCATGTCCACTTTCTTAACTCATTCACCTCTGAAATTTCATAATGAACTATTCCAACAGTTAAATTGGAAGAGTTCAAATGTGTCTTCAGGGGTGAATGAGTTTAAATTAGTCTTCAGGGGTGAATGAGTTAACATCTAAATGAAAAAAAAACCTTAATTAACAAAGCTGTCAATATAAATATAGGGGTTTGAATCTCTTTACATTATCCTTTTAGTGGCAAGTGGGATATTATAAAGTGATTCAAACCCCTGTGTTTATGTGCCAAACAACATCTCTTAAATGAGGGGCCGTGACGTTTTGTATGTTAAATTTAAGGAACAGAAAGAACTAGGAGATAAAAATAGTAGCTAGTTTTGGTGTATAACAAGCATGATTTCGTCAACCCCTTCCAATACGTACACACCTCCCCCTTTAATTCATGAATTACCCATTAAACCTCATGAAACATTCAAATCTTAAATATTTCTAGTTTGTTTTTGACATAAAAAAAAACCCGGCAATAAATGATGCCGTTCATTCAAAATCAATACATGTTTTAAAATTGTTCAAATTTGCTTCATATTTAAAGATAAAATGGAGGTAATCCATATGAAGGGCAGGACAACACTTTTATTGATTATGTATTGGTGTTTAAAGTAGACTAATATTAACATTTCTATATTTGGCCCAGAAATCAATAATTGTACAATGTAGATCAATAATGGGCATATCTGGAAGGTGTCGAATCACCCCCTTTATGCATAGACACCTTTTTTTTAAAAATTTATTTTTTCATAAAATAATTTCCCTTTAAACTCCCCTTTTGAAGAATTTTCATTTAATTCAATTTTATTTTCGGTAAATAGAATTTCTGTAGTTTTTTATGTGTATTTTATGTAAATTGACAAATTTATTCGGCCCCAATGTGGTGCATGCAAAATCTCACCTTTTAATGCTTTTAGGTGTTAATCTCAAAATGTGTCTTTTTTACTGCTCCCCATTCCCCCATATCTATATTTCTGTAGTAGCCATAATTCAAATAAAACACTCAAAAGTTATCAATACATGCACCTAAACGTAATTTGCATAAGGATACAAAGTACAACAATATGTAACAATTTTAGATATAATCATATTCAAATGTACAGTGAAACCTAAATGGTCTCTGACATTTTGGTTCCTCCCAAAAAAATCCAAAAAAATCTGGAAGAAGCTTTTGAAGTATTGTTGCATACAACGAGATCGAAAACAATATAAAATATTGGTTTAAGACAGTAAGTTTCCGGACGTCCTGTCCATGCAGAGCTAGACTATACAACAATGTTTCACTACAGAACAAAATATCAAACACACACATACAATAGATATACATGTATGCATACATTGGCACACGTTCGTCATGCAAGGCTAGCACCTGGGAAACAAATACAATATATTTACATAAAAACAGTTTCTGAAGTCTATCCTATGGTGCAACACAATACATTTTAAATTTTCATTAATTATTATCATCAAGGAATATGGCAAAAATGTCTGATAAGAATCATGATTTAAACTACGACTAGTAAAATTTAAAAAAAACCCACTTAAAAATGATTTATGGAGGGAAAAACTGTTGCAAAAATTATTTCAGTAGCTCCGATTACAAAAATATTTTTCAAATTCAATCTAAATATAAGATTTTATGGAGTTTTTCCTGTAGTTACACAGGGACGTATATAACTGTCCCTGAGTTACATTACTGCAAACATAGCCAATTAAAATGGGTTTAAAATTTTAATGAAAATATTTCCATCAAAATTCAATTAAAATCATGTTAAATATGTATGCAGTAGTGAAATCTATTTGGATATTTACCGAAAAAGAATCCCAAGCAAGCATTTACAGTAAGGGAGCGGCGTTTGAAGTTCAAACGGTCAACACAGGAACTCAAGCTTGTGTGAGGAATCTTACTTCCTATCCATGCTGAAGTGACCTATGAATTTTGACCTCAAGACCTGTAAAAGCATTCCCAAATAAGTAGTTTTGTTGTGAAAGAAATGTATGAAACATTTGAGAACATTCGGCCAAGGGAAACTCAATTATTGTGGAGGTGGGATGGACAGATACATTTAGACAGAAGAACAAGCATCATTACAACAATATTCACTCCAAGGGGAATAAAAGTCATGAAACCGAAAGTGGTGCACACATGGGAACCCAATTGCTGAATATATATCGGGAAATTTTTCGCTGCAGTTTAATAATTTGCCTTTTTTGTCATCCGTAATAAGGGCTAATTTAATATTACAACAAACGTTTGTAAACATATAATATACATGGTTATTAAATGTGAAGGGCAAATTCAATATTGGGCGAAAATAGTATTTACCGTTGAATGGCGGAAATTTCCCAGTACATGTATACAGAATCTTGTTCGTGTTAGAAATACATTGTAACGTATTGGATGGTTTTCATGGATTTTCTTTCCATTTCCTTTTTTGAATATGTTATACACACAATCAGTCTATGAAAATTCCATTTCACTGTTAACAAAACTCAACAAATAAAACAACATTAAATAAAAAAAGAAGTTAATTATATTCAACGAGGGACATATTTTGCAAAATATGAAACAATGAAATTAGCAATGCACCAAGTTAAGAATATACTCAAAAGCGATTCATTTCAAAAGAGGTATACATGAAAACTAAAATGATGAAGGAACAAGTACAATTCTATATTAATTTAACTAAGATTTAATTCAAAAGTACTTTAATATGAATAATATGGCAACTGTTAATTTTAATAAACAATCATACAATTTTTTATTTTACCCAGTTTGCATAATAATGAGTTTTCAGTAAAATTCACATGATATAGATAATTTTCCTGGCGGTTAAAATCACAAACAAATTGCTTCCTATCGTATAATTTATATTCTTAGCGTGCATATGTTAAAAAAATCCTTTTATTTTGCTCACATGAGTACTTTTCCCTGATACTCCTGTGTAGTAACATGTGAGCTTTGGTTGATGAGGAGACTCCTACATGAATCTTCATCTTCTGTGAATATTAAATCCATGGAAAGTTATTTCCAACATTGAAATAGTATCTTTTTAATAAAAAATTCAACCATTTGCAGTGGCGGATGCAGAGTTTTTTTTTGGGCTTCAGTAAACCATCCAACCCTGAGAATTTTCTATAAAAATCATGTGTTTTCACCATTTTCCTCACTTGGAAACCCCCCTCTGGAAATTCGGAAACCCCCCCCCAGATAGGTCTCTGGATCCGCCACTGATTTGCAAATAAAAACTCCTCTTACATGAAGTACCGGCAAAAGTATATGGATTTATAGTAATACAGTATTGTAGCATTTTTTTTTTTTTTTTTTAAATGGGTGGACACAATCCTGAACTAAAAACGAACATTCAAATAAAGTTTGAAGTTATAATTGTGACTTTGTTTTCATCAATAAAATCACTTTGAAGAAGAATTTTTGGCGATTTTCAGAAATAAAAAAGAGGGCTAGATAATTGATTGCATAGAATGACTAGTCAATTAAATCTAAAACTGGGGTGACATTTAATACGGTATGCAAGCACTTTAAACAACCTCTATCTACAACAAAATAAACAACAAATGGCGTCATTGAACAAGATAGTGGTCTAAACTACACATAAATTAATCATCAAGTTTATACATATAAACATTATCTTACTGTAATCACTACTGTAAAACGAAAACAAATTTAAGTGTGAAAATAATGCTGGTTTTTTTTATCTCAGAAATTTCATCAATTTCAATTTCCAGAATCAATGGCTGATAGATCTAGAGTCAATTTAATGGTTTAAAGTGAATTGATAGATTTCATTTTAAGTTTTATTGTACTATTTTCCTTCCTATTTTAATGACTCTTTACATTAACTCATTCACCCCTGAAGTTGCATAATGAACTATTCCAATCTTTGAGTTGGAAGAGTTCAAATGTGTTTTCAGGGGTGAATGAGTTAACACAGAGTGGAACACTGACATTTATAACTACGTGTAATTTTTGTTTAACTGTTATCTTATTACCAAAGTGCAAAACAATTTGTAAGGTACTTAACCTCGAATGAATGCATATAATCAAAATTGTAAAGACTTAATGTCACTTGTTAAAATTTGATTAATAAGAAAACACCATTTTATGCACTACGATATTCGGCTATTGTATACTGTTTGTCAAATCTAAATTTGAAAATTGGACTAAGAATACGGAGAAAAAAAAAGAAAAAAAAATTAACATTATATATCACTCATACCAAAGATCCCGGATTCAAAACCTGATTGTAAATCTTTTGTAAAAATATCAATTGTTCATTTAGAATGGGTGATGGATAACAACTTTGGTACGTAAATGTCATGTCAAATATTGCCCTATCTGAAATATTTATAGACAGTAAATTAAAACACAATTTAATATATGAAAAAGTTAATATTGCAGTGAATGGAGAAAATGTTATTAAAGAAATTTCACAAATTTTAATGCGTTAAATTTTTATAACACATTTATAACTTACAACACTTAATATTCTTTGTTTCTATAGAAACTGAATACTACACAAAAATGATGACTTTTCAATGGACAAAAACTATGATGAACATTGAACTGAATGTCTGAAACTTTTAAAACAATAAAAGGTATCAATTAAGTGCGATTTTAATAATTACAAGACGGCACTTTGAAATTCATATTTCTGTTTCCGTTGAACTTGTCCGTATCCGGCCTGACGGTTTGTGGACTCGGAGGCTTCCGGAGCTGCCTGTCCCACCGTTTGATCCATTTATCTCCCGACCCATGCACACCTGGACCTCCTTGTCATGTACAACAACGTCAAGTTTACACTGTATACAAATATACATCCTCCGGGGTTTACGTCTCGACTCCGGCTGAGTAAGCACCTTTGCTATGAGATTCATGGGTACGGAGTCTGTGGAGTTTGTGTTTGCGTCTTTGTTAGATTTCTGGGAGCTGTTGTTGATGGAATACACCATGGCTGTAGGAGGAAATGTCTGCATTGGAACGCGGATCAGTTTTGTCAATTCGTTATTCGGAGGAGCATCCTCGCAGTTGATGATTTCCTCTCGTGTCATGTGACTTTTGACTCTTTCCTGAAGATCCATCGGAAGCTGGAGTAAAAAAAAATCGAAAAGTCATTGATGTGAAATAAATCACATGAATGTTACTGATAATATTGTTTGAAATTTTATTATTTTGAAAACAATCGGTAATTGCTACTTCAGCAAAATAGGGTCTCTTTAAATACATACTAAACAACTTACCAATTTATTTTTCTTATATAACTTATTAACTGCAGCCCATGATTTTTTTTCACATTTTTCAAAATTTCTTACACAGCATAATATTGCATCTTCTCCTGACCAGAAAAACAAATCACACATTTGATTTTTAATAAAACTAGTTTTTCTTGACATGGGGGTATAAAATGTGGATAAAATCCTGATGTCTACCTTGTAAAATTTACTTTAAGATTTATATCTACCGAGTTAATTCTCAAATGTAACTTGCTCACTGTAGCTCACAGATAACACTTATATCAAACTCACCCCTATTAGGATAAATATCATAATCATGATCACCATGACTGATTTTCTCTAAAATATTTTCTCTTTCAAAATTACAGAATTAGATAACTTATTACATGATTGTGTATAGTTGTATATAGGAGGAGGTCGAGGATTGATATCTATGATGAAAACATTATTTCTTAATTAAAATGTGTCGATACCAACCGTGTTCAGCTTGTGGGCCACAAAGTTGGAGGGTTTACACTGAAGTAGCTGGACAGCATAGTTGCAGTCTTTTCTGGTTTGTTCCTGGAAAAAATTAACAACTTATCAATAAACAATGTAAGTTTAATGCCCTGGAAAAAATAAACATTAAACACACATATGACACAGAAGTTTCTTTAAGGAAAATATTTCAAAATTTGAAAAATAATTTTAAAACCTAGGAAAACCCGCCTAGCTAGAAGCTACATGTACTGAAAGTGGTCACCAAACTTAGCCGAGCCCTTAAGGCATTTAACTCTGTGACCAAGTTTGAAAAAAATCGGTTAACAATGAGTAAGAAATGAGTAGTTCTTCATAAAGCATTTTTGTCTGTACATTTTACAACACATATTAAAGCCTTGGGAAGCTATGGATCTGAACCTGTACGTATCATGCCTATTGCACCTCAAATTCGCACACAACTTACATTTTCCTCCTCCAGTTCGCAGACGTGAGATTTGGCTTCTACTACTTTAGAGGTCAATAGAGCCACTTCTTTCTGAAGGCCCATCTTGTCACCTTCAAAGCTGTTCACCTACAAAGGAGCAAATGGCAATTATTTATAACATTATAGCTAGCGGAGTTATTTGAAGATGTACATGTACAAATCTAAGAATGCTAATTCTGCACAATAAACCAATATATTCCAATCAATTTAACCATGATTTGAACTGTATGTATCTCAATCTGGGAAACAAAAACTATTATTTTCTATGACTTGAGGTCAAGAACGGTATAAATAAATGTTAATTGAGGCTGCAGTCAAGAAATTTATGGAAGAACAGTTTTTTCATAGCTGAGGATATGAAGCTTGTACATACCACTTTTAAGAGTTTGTCCTCCAGTCCATGGTTTACTTTTTGTAACCTTTTATGACTTTCATACAATCTACAGAAAAAACAATCAATTAAAGAAATCAATTAAATTAAATCAATTAAAATTAAAAAATTAAAAGAGTTGATTTAAATAAAGTAAACAAATCTATAAATTAAATAATTTTAAATTACATGTACAATATAAACTCCCCACCCTGCTTTACCAGTGACCTTTTGACCCTTTCACCTTTACCGTTTTCCACTAAAATCCTTACAGACAGAGAACTCAATGTTACCATACCGTGGTGTAAATAGGATCTTAATATGTTTAGGGGTTCATGAGTCATCTTGTACACAAACTTTTTACCATGTATGGAGGGACAGGATGACACACACAGACACACTACACAATTTAGTGATTACTATATATAAACCCTGCGGTCCTTCACTAAGTGGGGGATTTAATTATCTAAAGAGCTTAATTAATTATGAAAACCCGTAAGTATAAAATCACGTAATTCCTGCATGCTTTTGAGCTTTAGCAATATATATTAAATGTTGATATAACTTGAAAAATTGTCGTTGATCCATGGATATACAAATGTGATAATATAAGTAATCTATTGCATGAAGAATTTTAAAACTAATAACATGGTCCTTGATAGCACATGCACAACAATGAATAATTTCAAGAAAACATCCTTTAATGTAAACTGTACAATTTTACTAGCAGTGAATTTTGCAATGTCTCAAATTTACCCTGTGAGTGACTTTACCTGTCATATCGGTCGCGGAGTTTGGCGAGCTCCTCGGTCAGTTTCAGCACCTCGTATTCCGCCACGTGTTTACTGTCGATGATTTCGTGTTCTATCTGCGAGATGTGGTTGTTGCTCTTCCTCAGTTGACTCTCCAGAGCCTCAATCTCCTGGTGAAGGTCCAGGCTGAAACAGACCGAACAGTTATAACGTTAACTATCACATACAAATTAAAGGCAGAGTTGGATTAACGCTGCCCCAATATCAAATGGAAGTATAATTAAAACAAACTGCAGGGATTTTTAAATATTTTATAAAGCAGACATATCTCATATTCCAATATGACATATTATTGTTATTTAATTATGAAATGAACTTTTAGAGAATAATGTGCTAATTAAACACATGTTTTGAAACACCAGTTTTATGTTGCCTTTTTCGTGAATTCCCCCCTCAGGGTATACATGGTGTGTCTGAATCGAATGAATGCTTTTTGGAGATGTTTTGATGCATAAAACGGGAAAGATTAATTGAGCAAAGCCGTTTCAATCGCAATTTAAGCACTTTCTGCCTCATTGGAAATTTAGCATGATCGAGGGAGATCTTCCTCATTGGAGGTTTAAGAGGTTGAAACCTATGCATGTACTTGTCTAGATCTATTGTGGTCACATTAAAAACAAAAACAAAGTTTTTTATATTCTAATTGCCAAATCATCAGCATACATGGTGCTTTAGGGGTGAAAAGATGGTATAACAGACAAATTATTCACCTATATAACTAGCTAGCTACAATATTAACTATGGGTAGCTTGTTACAGTCTATTTTAAAATCAATTTTTGATTGCATCATCAGTATTATCTTTCTGAACTTAAAGCAACAAACGGTTTAAATGTGACAAATGAGGTTAGGTCAAGGCTGTTCGTATATCAATTACATGAAATATTTTTGATTTTCATATAAACTGTAGCCTTAAATTGTAATGGATTGTTACACATGTTTGTAACTGATGCAAACTCTTTATGGTCTGTATATCTCTGAACACACAAAGCAGGGCTGCAATGTATATCATCAAGTTTCAACACACAGTGGTGTATATATACAATATGCGGTACATGCATAAAATTGCCCAGATTGTTTTACAATCATGCTCCCTTCATTGAATATGCATGTATACTAAGCAATGCAATGCAAGCCGTAACTATTCATGTACTGTACTATACGTATTGACACAATGTCTGAATAAATGATATTCTTGGGAACTTATACACAAATTACGCCGTACAATGTACATGTTTGAGGCATCATACATATACACTATAATTATATACACTAGGGAGAATTCACTAACCCTTTCACCACTTTATATTTAGACCATAATGGACTCATCCATTTCAATGCATGGTAGAGACTCAACTCAACTTACATAGGGGTGAAAGGGTTAACGCTTAACTGGACCACAAAACACTTATTTAGCTGTTATGTACATGATCAGCTGTCTTCATTAATGGCAACTTGACTACGTTTACAATTTGCATTTTATCAACAAGAAAAAACATCATGTTCATCGTAACCCATTCAAATTTTTGAACTGAATTAATTTACATTGAGTTGGAAAGCAATTATTGATTCCATACACTGTTGTGCAGCTGTAGGCCATCGTGATGTACTAGTAAGTTACTGTTGATGTCATTGCAAGCAACATTGATGAAAAATGTGAATGTTGTTTATCAGCAATTAGAATTTGAAGAATTTGAGAATAACATGAATCAAACTAGCATTACAATGCCATAAACAATAATTGGTACATGAAACATGTAACATTCTGGACCCATGAGGTGTACCCAAAATGGACCACCTAAATTCTTTTTTGACAAAAACGAAAAAAAAATATTGAGAAATGTATACATTTTTTAATTTTCTTTCACTGATTTGGGAAAGATTTTTTTTTCCAAAGAACTCTTTAGTTAGAAATTTGTTGAAAAGACTGACACCATTTTAAGGAAACACATTTTCTTTTTATTTCATAATGATGGTTTAAGATCATGGGCTAAAAAGTAGTCTGTCCCGAGCGAGTACTGGTCATCATGGCCCACATCGGTCAAATTTGCATAAAACCCACATAACATAAATGCGACTGTAAATTTATCAAAACAATTATAGCAATGAAATTTAATCATTATATATACAATGTAGTTCACTTACCTCTACACAACTTATACTAAATGTACAGTATCCTATACAAAAAATCACACATTAATAGGAATTTCAAAAGTGAAGGAAATTCACACAACAGGTCTATATAGCGGTACATGTACATCTGGCTGGGTAAAATAAGGTCTGCTCAAACGTACAGCTTCATATATATAATGATATACTGTTTACAGATTAATTAATGTTTCAACAATTTCCTTATGTTAACCCAATTTAGTGCCAGCTTTTGTTGCACTACCGTGAAATCAGATATATTCCCGGGGCCCAAATTTTGTGGTTTCCCAATTACAAAACACCATTTTGTGGGTACGTACGTGAATTTGTGGATTACATTAATGATTATAGGATCAACTCAAACGGAGAATTACTTTATATCCAATCTGATTAAAATCAATTGTTACATGGCTTCGTTAACTTCGTACTACGTTCAGGCGGAGCCATGTAATATATAATTTTAATCAGATTGGCTTTATATCAAACCCATATTTACCTTGTGGACCTATATATGAACTCATGGATGAAGATTACCCACGAAATAAATGAAATTAAAAACCCCAGTAAAATAAGTGATTTCACAGTAGCAGGTCACTTAACTATAAGGTTACATTTGTATAATCTGGGGCCAGTTCGTTTATGCAGAACAACCAGTACGTCCGTTTTTAAATGTAACATTTCGGGGTTTTATTTAAATCCCGGCGGACCTGCAAATGTTTATGCAGGCCTTGTAAGGCTTTGTCAAGGCTTGCTTGAAAGCGGCATCAGATTATGATTATAATTACTAGGTCCGACCATATTTCAAAAATGAACAGTTACTTTGTTCCAACGGTTGTTGTACCGTTTGGATAGCGATAAACGATAATGGCCCTGCAGAGTCACAAAGAACATTTTCTTTCGTAAAGAATTTGTGTGTTAATTTAGGATTGTGCTATTTAATGACTGTGCTATAGGATAAGATGGAAAATAGGAAAATATGACTGCCTTATGATTAGTATAAGGGTGTTCACATTAATTTAACTATCCAATACTTGTACCGGACAACGTGTCATACAGTCTCTTGAGGTAATCCCCGTCATTACATATTTCCGATCTCTCTTTTACAATCTTTAAAAATTAGCATTGTTCAGTTTTGTGATACATGTAACTTCAAAAATTGTTGACTTCACATTTTTTGTATTGCTCATTAATGTGACTGGTTGAATATTAAATAATGACAATATATAATTTTATGTCTATAGACAGTTCATTTTGAATGCCTATTTCTATATACTTGGTGAGGGTCTCGGAGATGAATATTTCGCCTAGTTCTCGATATTTGCAGTCTGTACAATATCTCAGAAATCTTGCAATGACTGTTACAGTTTTTTTTCTATTTCAGACCTTTAACCAACAGCATGAGACTTTGAGAAGTCCTCCATTTTAAGATTGACACCAATTTTGTTGCACACTTTGAGAACAGACCTGTATCAATCAAAGTCGTAAGAAATTAGGGGGTTTCTTGTGAATCTTGATAGCTATTAATTCTCCTTGACTTCCGTTGCTGTCTGTTAGCGGTGGTTTGGAGTTTTCTACTTGACAATGAATTGTAGACCTGTATTGATTAAGAATGATCACTGACCTTCTTCTCTTTGGTTACAATATGAGGGTGCTTTTCCCCCTTAGAGAATCGAATGTACAACTGGGGCATCGTTTTGGCATTTATTAATTGGATTCATTGAGAATCATATATCTTTGAGACCAAAATGGCTGAAGCCTCAGCCTCAGGCTGAAGAATCTCAGTAAACTTGTTTGAGGTCCTGTTGTCAATATATATTGTATGTTTTGTGGAGATGGTTGTTCCACTTCATAATGAATGTTCTGAGGCCAGATGAGCATGTTAGATTTGGTCGGCCATGGTTGCATATTATGAGGGAGTCTTGTGTGTTTAATATGTAAACCTCGTCATCTGGAGGGCTGTTCATTTGTATTCTCTTATGAGTGGAGTTGACTATAAATAAATATATCGTGAATTGAGCAAAATATGTACTGGTTTGGTTAACTGCTTAAATGTATATAATTTTTATATATTGGTGCATCAAATAGTTTACTACATTTACCCGTGTAGTTATGGTACGCCTAATCAGATTAAAATCATCTGTTTATATAACTCTGTTTAAATGCTACATGTTAGCGCCAAGGCAATGTACTACATTGTAGATATGAGGGTCTGAAAGTGCTACATAATCAGATCCAGAGTCATGTCCGAGCAACCTTAAGCTAATTCCGACAGCCAATAAAAATATGACTGGCAAAATAATTGCACATTCAGAACACGTACAATTATTGCAATTTTCTGGTCATCATGGTCACCTTGGAAACAATTGTGTAGATTTTCCTCCTTACAGATCATGGATACTGAGAGATGGAACTACAGTAGTGAAACATTCTAAAAGAAAACGGACTTCAACACTCAGAAGATTGCAAAATACTGTAAAGGTAATGGAGATGATGACAACATGTACACTGGATGTGCCCTCTCTGACTGGTCAATATTTAATGAGTATACGTAAAAATCTATAAGTATGGAGGTTGCCAGAATGTGAATCTGAACATGATACTTTCAGATGCTCAAGCATCTATATATAGTAGACAGCAAAGAAGCTATTTAACAGATGATTTTTATCAGATTGTTGTTAGCGATTCTGTTTGTCTAGAAATATTGTCTAGAAATAGACTGATCAAGTCCACATCTACATTAAGTATAAACTGAAAATAATTATTTTACAACAATTACAAAAACCTTTTATTATAACTTATACTCAATGCTAAATGTGTTGGCCCGGATGGAAGGGCACACTCACAGGGTGTCTCAATGTAGAAGGAAACCAGAGTACCTGGAGCAAACACACGTGGTCAGGTCATGTAGCTTGGTGACCCAAGACCTTTTCATGTCTGATTGGGGAGTCAAAACCCAGGTCCTCTTGGTGAGTACGCTATCCACTACGCCACCACCTATCAATCTTTTAAAGTCAATTTCACTCTCGAAAGACTGGCATTCTCAAAAAATATAGACGGTTGTTATCAAATGATTGTCCAAAATGCACAAACTATGCAAAAGATAATTAGATATAAGTGAAGTTTTTGCATTAAATTTATATATAATTACCACAAAGCCAAATTTAAAGTATGAACCTTAATTAGTCATCTATTAAAAAAAGATAAAATACTGGTAGATATTTCTAAATATTGTCTTCATGTTGGTAAGTAATGGATTGTGAAAAGATTCATGTAGCACAACCAGTGAAGTGTTTATAGATGTGACGTTTCGATGACTAGTACAGCATGTACTCTGTCACTTTTTGGTTGTGCTACATACATGAATCTTTTCACAATACTGGTAGATATAATTATAATAATACATGTACACCACATACCAAACTCAAACCCACAAATCTAATGTAGCACAACATCATTAAACAAGAGGCCCAATGGGCCTGAATCGCTCACCTGGTATTAATCTCACACTTGTAATCTTAAAAGTGGACTAAAATACAGCTACAGGCAGAATATCAGTGTATGATTCATAAGAACCTATTAAAAGATTTGAACATATGATGCCTGTGACCTTGAATGTCGAACAAGGACATTAGGTTGAACAGAGTTTAAAGTCTTCCAATCCAGCATGCTTTTGGCAAAATATCATAACCCTGGACCTATTGGTTATACAGAACAAGTCATTTAAAGATTTAAACATATATTGACCACTGTGACCTTAAATATGGGCGAAGGTCATTCATTTTGACAAAATTGGTAGCCCTTCATTCCAGCCTGTTAATGACCAAATATCGTCACCCTTGGTCTTTGGCTAATTTAGAAGAAGCCGTTTAAAGATTTGTTGAGACAATTGACCCCTGTGACCTTGAAAATGGAGGATGGTCATTCATTTGAACAAACTTGGTGGCCTTTAATCACAGAATAATACTGGCCAAATATCGTAACCCTATGCCTCTTAGTTATTCAAAAGAAGTTGTTTAAAGGTTTTTAACATATTTGACCCCTGTGACCTTGAATATAAGTCAAGGTCATTCATTTGAACAAACCAGGTAGCCCTTCATCCCAGCATGCTACTGGCAAAATACCTTAACCCTAGGCCTCTTAGTTATTCAGAAGAAGTTGTTTAAAGGTTTTTAACATATTTGACCCCTGTGACCTTGAATATAAGTCAAGGTCATTCATTTGAACAAACTTGGTATACCTTTTTCCCAGCATGCTACTGGCCAAATATCATTATCCTAAGCCTCTTGGTTATTCAGAAGAAGTTGTTAAAAGGTTTTAAACATATTTGACCCCTGTGACCTTGAATATAAGTCAAGGTCATTCATTCGAACAAACTTGGTAGCCCTTCATCACAGCATGCTACTGGCCAAATAGCATCATCCTAGGCCTTTTGGTTATTGAGAAGAAGTTGTTTAAAGGTTTTTAACATATTTGACCCCTGTGACCTTGAAAATAAGTAAAGGTCATTCATTTGAACAAACTTGGTGGCCCTTCATCCTAGTTTGCTTCTGGCCAAATATCATCACCCTAGGCCTTTTGGTTATTAAGAAGAAGTTGTTTAAAGTAAAATATTGATGCCGAACGCCGGCCGGCCGGCCGGACGACGGACGCTGCACCATGGCATAAGCTCACTTGGCCCTTCGGGCCAGGTGAGCTAAAAAGGTATCATACATTTTCAATTTGTGTAATCTTTTGATCAGTTATTACATGTACTGGTAGGCAAGTAATAAAGTATTCTACCTAGTTATCTTGTGAAGCTTGTTAATGTTGAGAGCACTCCTATACTACCTTCTATATATATGTACCGTTTATATTACCAGTCGATTCATTAGTTCTGACTATAGAGAACTAGTCGCAGACTTTAAGTCTTAGAAGAAATTAGTACCTTATCTACAGTTATACACAAGTGTAATACCACAAAAACTGAACAATGAGCCAGGTATACACAAGTGTAATACCACAAAAACTGAACAATGAGCCTCTTATATCTAAATGACTTGTTATATGTATTTGCAAAAGACAGTTACAATAACCAAAGGTGAAATTAGTTTGTTAGATTGTAGTTTATAGCTGGTTTAAGTAATGTCTTTGCAATTTGAGACAGAATTGCTTTTGTAAAATCATAAACTATTTTTTTTTCAAATTCATGTTAATGATAGTTTTGCAGTGAGCTTATATTATAATTAGAAAACACTAAGAGAAATAAATAATATAATCTTATACTCACCTGTTTTGACTTTAAAACAATAATGTATTTCACAAATTTTATTACGAGTTTCAGCTCTGGGTTTTTTTGTTTGACAGAATTAAAAAATATCCTTACCTGATAACAAAAAGTGATGTTTTGAGGGATAAAAAACCCCATGTAATATACCATTCTCAATATACCTGGGTATGTTTAATCAAGTGAATTTATCAATGTACTTAATTTATAGGATTCTTAAATATTCTGTTTGTAAGAATTAATGGTTAGGAAAAGGTTTCTGAGAAATAAGACACTTTAAGATACATGTATACGTGTAGTGTACTTCCAATTTACAAACCACAGTCAACTGAAAAAATATTTACATACTGAGTGAGCTTATAAGTTCAAACAGCGAGTACCCAAAGGTTAACGCAGCATCCTTGTCAACTTTTTGAATTTTCCATCGGGGAGATTCTGTATGGTCAAAATTAAAACATCAATAAAATGTGCGTGTATACCCCCTAGAGACAAAATAACCCTATAAATGACATGTTTTGCATGGTTCTTTCAAGTGAAATAATTTGATCTTAGAATATAGAAATAGTTAAGCAAATTCACCATTTGAAAATACTAAATTTAAGGGTCCAAAGTTGGGAGTCTACTTCCTGAATAGGGATAATTGGTAAGTGTAATGAGGTGTAAATAATGTATAGATAAGCAAAAAGCTAACAAGGGCGATATACCTCAGGGTATAAGATTGGCAAAGTTGAGAAGAATATGCGAGTATTGATATTGAGTCAGGTATATTGAAGTGACTTGTACAGCTGGTGCAGGATACACTTATATGTTGTGTATACATATATGTGTATACATATATATATACATATGTTAACATAATATTGTATCATATTAATGTGTCGATATAATTAAGCACCTGTTATAAAAATTATTGCAGCACAGCCACTAAAATATTTGAATTTTTCCATTTTTTCCCCACAAGAATCAGTGTACAGGAGCTTCATATCATAGGTAATGGTTATTTCCTTGTAGTGGTAGATCAGCCATGTAAAAAAAAAGAGGAAAAAAAGGACATATTTCTGCATTAAAATAGACAATCAGCAAAGAGTGCTCTGCATATACATGTATATATGTATGTAGGGAGTTTCTGAAGCCCTTTTTCCAAGCTAGCCACTAGTATATATATATATATATCAAACTATGTTTATACGAACGGCTGAAAGATGTTATATAAAAAAACACCCGGGTAAGCATCCCTCGTTACTTAAGTATGATACCTGTGATTCTCATCTGCTGGCCAAACTGAGGCTAAGTGTGAGCCTACCTGTCTGTAAATATACATGGATATCAAAATAATGTACAGGTATTTTGTGTGAAAATTAATACTGTATTTTGTCAGCATGCAGTGTAATGCGTGCATGTGAAACACAGACATTTCATCCAGGTTGAGAAAGCAGTCCCTTTGCAATGTAATTAAGTACATGCATCACCTGTTACAACAATAACAACAACATCACATGTACATACAGGGGTTTTCTTGATTTGTATATACACCAGATATGAAAGAAAAATATTCTTTTATTCTTGTAGGTGGAAGACAGATTTGTTATCCTAAATATTTTACGCTTGGTTCTGATGCAGCTTCAGTAATTACTCCAAATCTAATTCCCCTTAGGTGGAGTTTCCCTATAATTGCACGCACAAACATGAAAAAGCAATCTGATTAAAATCATAATCTGTTGCGAGGCGTAGTACGAAGTTAACGAAACCATGTTACAGATGATTTTAATCAGATTGATGAAAAAGTGTCCTACAATTTAATCTTACAATTAAACTGATGAAGGTAAGTGGTTGTTATATGACTGTTACCATATTTTAAGACCCATGATTAGCTCAGACTTCCTGACATGCAAAAAAATACATGAACCAATGGCAGTGTTTTTCTTCTTGGAAATTTTTATATAACTATATATACCTTCCTTTTATGTGGGGATATGTCACATATCAAAACATTAAAATCCATTTTTTCTTTATTTTCTTTTAAAAGAATCAATGATTTTTTTTCAAAAGTCTTTATTCATATATTACATCCATAGTAATGTTTTGCTGTTGAAGCAAACCTAATTTTTTTCAATTTTTAAATCTTAGAATTTGGGAAATATATTTGGAAGAACAATTTTGACATGTACTGTATGTATGCATGCATCACCTAATTAAAAGATCCCCATTTATGTTTACAATGATTACATTACAGGGATCAGTCTAATTTAAACAAAAATTGGACGATGAAACCCAATGATCTCACATTCTGCAGTTTGACCAACACTACATGCGATTCCTTGACTAACTGCATATATCAATGCTGAGGCGATGTTGTCAATAAGTGGATTTTAATCTTTTCTCTTGCTTTACAATTCTAAAGACTGGGGCTAGAAATTTTATAATCAACCTTACCTTGAGTGGTTAGAGAAGCATCCCCTACAGGTACATCCACAGTCCTGTAAAATAAAGGTAAATATCAGGTGACATTTATACAGTGTACACATGTGCAACACCACATAATTTATTTCTCTATTGCCTCAAAAGCTCTTAATTAGTACAATATATTTTCTATTAATTCAAACTGTTGCAACTCTAAAGTTAAAAAGGCAACTCTTTAATTATCATTAAGAGAAAATATATAAATCAAGACAGTACAATTTATATAAAGAGAAAAATATTAAAATTTCTGAGGAAATTAAGAGAATTAAATTCCTCAGTGCATTCTTATTGTTTTTCCGCCTCATTTATTTGGTTCAGTACAAATTGGAAATCTAAAATGTAATAAAACACAGACTAACTCTGTAAGTGAAAGTTCATATTCATATAGTTATAAACACCAATCAAAATTACTAAATGTAATTATATATAAAATTTCATCTATACATAGAATTAAAACGTTTTTTTGTTTCTCACATTAAAAAATATTTTTCGTGAAAAAATAAATATAAAAAAAGGGTTCATTGATGAACAGTTTCAGGCTCCTGCTGCCCTTCATAAGTTCTGCTGAGAAAATTTTGTCAAGAAAATTCTATGTCATGTTTTGAACTTTATCAAATTTAGAAAGGAAACAAAAGTCTACTGCAGACTGCTGCAAAATTATTATCGGTTTTCTGAGTAATTTACCTGTAGCATCAATGAGATTTCTTTTAATAATGTCCGATAGAATTCCTTGTCAGAGTAGGAAATTAAAGTATTGATTAAATAACCAGTACTTACAGGGCAGGCCTGAGTCATTGTTAGAGAGACGTCGGAGGTCACCCTTTTATGCATGGTTTGTGGTTTGGTGCCTTCAGACGGTTTCATCAATATTGCTGCTACCGGTTAATGATATTGAATGTTCCCGAATTCAAATTATCATTTTTGACTTGTTTAGAAAACTAAAGAGGCTGAAAACATCTGAAATTGAAATAAAAAAACAAACAGTTGCCATATGTTTTTACTTGATAGAAATGCATCTGCATCTATTTCATATTCTATTTTAATTTTCGATTCCAATGCAATCAGCTAGTTAATTAAATAGGCATACAGAAATACATTGTGTGTTTCACGTTTCCCTAATATTTGAGAGTCAAACCCTAACTCTTTCCACCTGTTCATTTCCTTGTTCTTTAAAAGTGTGTAAAGATGTTTAATAAAAAATAAGAAACATATTTTCTCTCTTTATAGCTACTGACTCTTGTTTTCAGAAGGTGAAACTCAATTGAAACATACAATTTTGTTTAGTCTTTTATCAGCCCTGATAAATATGCAACTTTATAACCGACATTAAAATTTGCAAAAAACGATAATTAAAAGTCTGAATTTATAAACAAATCAGTCAATAAATTGCAAATCTTTGATATAAATATTTAATAAACTTCAGTTCACTTCGGCTTAGATTAGCTCATCCTTTTCCTATATAGCTAGGACGACACAGTACCAGTACGGTACAATCAATTCTACAGTAAAACCTCTATATAATGCCCTTCATTTAGTAAAGCAAAATTTACATGTCTACCCAGCCCCTTATTACGTACATGTGAAGTAGCTCAAATCACAGGTACTTGCCTCGTCTGTCAATTAATACACATATATATAATATAATCATATTATTGGTGTATTGACAGACGAGGCTAGTACCTGTGCTCAAATTAATATACAGTAAAACTCCATATAATGCCAATAATTTATTTCACATAAAACCTTGTTGTAAATTTGCCCCTCATTTCCCTCTGAGTAAATTATATATTGCAAACACACAATTGGTATATATGTTCAAAGCCTTAAATTCCTTTTCTTACAGTAAATATTTCTTTTACACATCTCCTGCAATATATCACCTAACATTTATACTGCCAAAATGTCACTATGTATATACATGGCAGTATAACAAATTAAAAGATTTCCATTAACTATATACCAGGTATTCATGAATCAAAATCAGTCCTTTAATATATATCGCTCAAGTCATCTGAAGAAGACATAATTGGACCATTTCCTTCTACAGTACGACGTATATATGTACATCATTGACTTTCGTAGGTTAATTTGGTTTTTTCAGGAGTCCAAAAAATCATTTTTAAAACGTTGATCGAGTCCTATTACTCAGAGAAAAGGCTGGTTTTCAAAATGTGGCTAAGACCTGCAGGAAAAGCACAAGTCCGGGACTCAAACATTCCAGTCCAAAAAGAAATTACTGACAGTTCCTCCCGAAGTATTGTGAAGCTAAGCTGACTTACAAGTTATGTGCACTTTTAGGTATTCATGTATTATTTCATAACAACTAGTACGTACTGTTCAAGTAGCCAAAAGCAGGGTTGAAATCTGATTGGTATTTTTATTATGACACAATTATTTTTAGTCTATTCTATACACCTAGTAACGCCCCCATTTCACTAGGATACGACAGGCGGCGTCGGTGTCGGTTAGCCACCATCCGACAGCATCCGACAGCATCCGACAGGAACATAGATTGACCGAATATAAACCAAGCACTGGCCGAAGGGTGACGTCGAGAAACCCCAACTGACGCAGAGTGACCGAGAGAACATTTTCTGACCCCGGCAAATTTTGAGCATGCATAACATAAACAGGCCAAGATAGCATTTTGACCGAGTACTAACCCTCATCAACCGAACTTCACCGCCAGGTGACGTAAGTCTAACGGAATAGCAACCCCCATCGACCTAACACAAACCCTGAGAAACCCTGCCTGTCCGAGTGTTTTATCAGACTCTGTCAACAGTGCGTTTCTCTGCGTTGGTGTTACGTCACAGTCGGTTGCTCTGAGTCGACATTCGGTCACATTCAGTCAGCAAATAATGTCAGGGACCGTCATGCACTGCCTGGCGGGGTTAGACATTGGTCGCCATTCGGTCATGCTGCGTCAGCCTGCGCCAGTGTTACGTCAATATTCGGTCAGCTTGGGTTGTAGTTTGGTCAATGTCGGTTGCTATAAATACGGGTGCGCCACATACGATTGGCTAGTGATACATTTGTTTTCCAAAGCATCATGCCACCAAAGAAATCAAGAAAAACGTTAAGACAGGCAATAAAGAAGACGAAGGGCAAAGCCGTGATGCAGCCCGGAGACACTCCAACAGGAGACGACGAGCACCAGGTAGAGGTCCAGCCAGTTGTTGAAAGTGTGGGCCAGGTGATAACCATCGTTGGGCAAGGGAAGCATCCAAGAGGTCGTGGTCGTGTTGGAGGGAGCAGAGGGTGTGGACGTGGACGTGGCAATAAAGATATTGTAGCCGAGGCCATGGAGGAGGCAGACGTTGGTGCTGAGAAGGAGGACGAGTATTTTAATGGTGCAACTTCTTCAGAAGATGACACGGAGGTTCCAGCCCAGAAGAAAAAGAAGACCCCAGAGGTGGTGCTCACTCCCGAACAAGAGCAAGCCGTCTGTGACTGGCTCCGAAAGTTCCCACAAGTCTGGAACACGCGCCATGAAAGCTACAGGAAGACACCTGAGAAGGACCTCTTGTTGGAAGAGCAGGGCCAGAAGATGGGGTTGCAGGCAGCCATCTCAAACAATGGTACAGGAGCACTAGGTCCAAGTTTGGTCGTGTCAAGACTAAGAAGGGCAAGTCCGGATCTGGTGCCCAACCAGCCCTGACCTTCCGGGAGGAGACTGTATGGCAGCTATTCCAGTTTCTGGGGGACTTCGTCAAGGAGAAGGCCAATCGGGAACCAGTTGCCAGTGTATGTATATTAGTTAATTTTCCCCCGTCAGTCCGTCCGTCCGTCATTCCGTCCGTCCGCGCACACGAACAAGCACTTGTTGGGAACTGAGAACAATAAGTAACAGTAAATACCATTCATTCCGTTGCCTGTTGGGTACTTGGAACGATACCTCCTCTGGAACTACAGGGCCACCTCTTTCCATTCATCGGGGGTGACGGGGCACTGGACCTCCTCTTCTGTAAATTCATCGATGATGGCGATGGTGTGTCTGGACACTCTGAAGCTGTACTGCAAACTTGGGTAGTTGTCCCCAGTAGCCAGGTGCCAGAGTACCACAGCCTACTTCAGCCCTGGTTCCAGAGGTCGTCTGAACTTGGTGTCCTTCTTCTGGAGGCGAGGCGTCAGCCGGTTGAGCAGGAATTGGAACATGTCTGGAGGCATGCGCAGGTAGTTAGTAAACGACTGTACATCCTCGTTCCGGAGCTTGACCATAAGGTTGTTGTACTGGCCAGCTGAGACTCGCTCATCTTCTGTTAACCAGGTCCTCACCCAGAACCGCTTCTTGCTATATCTTCTTCGGGCCCTTTGCCTCCTTCTTTCCTGCAGGACCTCGGCCTGGGCACGGATGTAGGCATGATGCTGAACAATCAGATCAGCCTGGAAAAGTCCTAGTACTTGCTCATTCATACTGTCCCTGGACTGGACTAGATTGGACCACCCTAGGCCTGAAATCACACTATTTTAAATCAACGAAGATCGCAGCCATCAACATGTCTGACCCTCTGTGACCCTCCATGGCGTAACATCGACGCAACTGTGTCGCACACTTACCCACATCCACGTATGTCTGTCCTATGTGCATCCAAGTGCATCGCAACTCTGACACTCATCATCGCACCATCAACGCAGCTATTGCCGCACACCGACCGACACCGGCCCATTTTGACCGAATACTGACGTAACTCTGACCGATATGAATCGTAGATGTGCCATTTGTGTTCGAAAATGTTCGAAAATGCTCGAACAGTTTTGCGACAGCCCAAAATTTACTGACCGACCCTGATTGACACTGACACAACGCAAGTGAAATGGGGGCATAAGAGATAGGTTTACATGTATATTGTACTGCATCAAAACACATGTTCTTTCATTTTGATCTCTATCCAGCAGACTAGCTGGATTTATTATTATTTTAGTCTATATATAGAGAGCTTTGTTTTCAAATATGAACCCTTAATTATTCCAGCCCTATAGATAATAATCAACCATTATTTTTCTGCATGAAATTTGAATGTAAGCAATATTATCAGAATTATTGATCCAATGTGTCCATTTATATGAATATGCATAAAAAGTCATTTAAACCAGTCAACAACACATTGCAAAGGGAACTGTGTATACATTTTTGTAAACTAAATCAATCGACAAATTATACAAAAGTAGATCGATACTGAGATTCTACAAATAAGGTATAAAAAAAAACATTGTGTGTGCCTGGTTTCCCTATCGATCCAAGATTTGTGCATACCCCAAAGTTTTTATTGGCATTTATAAATATCAGTGACAAATACTGTTTGTTTACGCCAGATCTCCAGGTGCTCTTTATAAGCAGGGGTCGACACTAACACTCGTTGGCTAGTCCTGGACTAGTAGATTTCATCAAGGAGGTGGACTAGTGAAAATCACCTAACATAACTGGTCTTAGGACTTGTGAAAAATATGATTATAAAATAAGAATATTCCTTTATAAAAATTTGAAAACTGCTTAAAATAGATATATTGAATGATAATTGTCAAAAATTTCCGAAAACTTCACCATATCTTCATGGCAGTGCTTAGTTATTTTAAGTCCCCTACAGTCGATTACTTTTGATGTTTCAAAGAAATCTGTCAGAAAAAGAAGGGGAAATCTCTGGACAAAAATCAAATACTGAAATGAACAAATGGCAATAACTTTTGCCAAAAGAGTTGAATCAAAATTATTTTTGTGCAAACACAACAACATATCATGATTATAAAGCCTACTAAGTTTCATAGAAATTGGTAGAAAAATGTAGGATATTGCCGGACACAAATCAAGTACTGAAATAAACAAAGGGCAATAACTTTTGCAAAAATTGTCAAATCAAATTCATTTCAGGGAAACACAACAACATATCATGATAATAAAAGCCTCACAAGTTTCAAAGAAATTGAAAAAAAAATGTAGGAGGAGATCTCCGAACAAAAAACCAAATACTGAAATAAACAATGGGAAATAACTTTTGCAAAAATAGTTGAATCAAAATTCTTTTCAGGGAAACACAACTTCATATCATGAGTATAATGTATACCAAGTTTGGAGGAGATCGGTCGAAAAATGTAGGAGAAGATCGCCGAACAAAAATCAAATACTGACATAAACAAAGGGCAATAACTTTCGCAAAAAATATTGAATCAAAATTCTGTTCCGGGAAACACAACTTATCATGATTATAAAGCCTATCAAGTTTCAAAGGAATCAATCAAAATTGTAGGAAGAGATATTCGGACATAAAATCATATTCTGAAATAAACAAAGGGCAATAACTTTTGCAAAAAATGTTGAATCAAAATTCTTTTAAGGGAAACACAACGTCATATCATGACTATAATGCATACCAAATGCAAGTTTTAAATAGATCAGTCGAAAAAATGTAGGATGACTGCCTATATATATATATATATCTGTCTCAGAAGGTTCGAATCACAGGTATTTTGTAAGCTCGTGGATGAATTATTAATCATCAGAATAATTGCAAATGGACTTTCATGATCATCTAGAGACGTATTTTGTCATCCAAAAATCAAGAAAGCGTAAAAAAACACCTACGCAGAATACATGCATATCCATGGACACATCCTGAAACTTTGGAGTCCCCCAAATGCTTTGGATGGATATTTAGGATCTACAAACCACCAGGCAGATCATAGCTAGAAAAGGTACACATATATTGGAAGCTCTGCAGGCAACAACTTAAATTCATCGGCACCCTTGTCCATCAGAATGTGAAAGTTATAATGCTGATGCTATTACACAGGGTCCAGCACCAAATAGAGGCTATTCCATTGATTGATTGATTGGTTTTACCTCCGCTTCATTACCGAGTAGTTTGGATATCCCGCAGACGATGGGCTATTCCATCTGAGGTATCCGACTTTATACTAGTTACTCATGCAAGCTCGCAGAAGAAAGGACTCGGTACATTCTTGCCAAACATAAGTACCACGATTAAGGAAAGTGTTCACTGGATATTCTCAATTCTTTTCACGAACTATCCAAAACTGGAACAGTCTACCTGTAGCTTCAGCTAATTTGCTTGACCACTTTTTTCTGATTTCACATTTTTCTTGAGATACAGTATAAATCACTGAAATAAAATAAAAATCCATCAACTCAGAGGTAGTTCCCCTATTCAATCTTCATGCATCACTCCGGCGTATCGTACTGTTTATGGGTGCCTCAGTAGCTGTGATCACTAACGCGCAGTCATTGTACTACAGTGTGCTATTAAGCGTGAGCTTCAGACCACTCGCTCTCCCAAGAATTTCAGTTCAATCCCCAGCGGTGGTGGAAAAAAGAGAGTGATGTCCGATAGGGTTATAGTTGTTATCCCTCCGATGGCACGGTGGTTTAATTTCCCCCCGTGGGTTTTCCTCCACCACGAAAACACCATTTGTTCCCTAAGCGGCATCGCAATAAAAGCTCTTAAGAGCTTATGTTTGTTGTTGACAATTGTACACGACGTTAAAGATTTTTTTTTTTTTTTTTTCCCATTCTATAATTTTATAATCATATTTTTTACAGCATTATCTGATCATCTTTTTATCAGTTTATGAGTCATTTTGAGTATGATTCAATGCCAAATGCCACCTTAATAAAACGTCGGCCATGTCTGCCTAGTCGAAGAGCTCGAGGCCATAAAGAAAATAACACTGATTTCATTGTACACAGTTACAGTAATGCACCTGTAGGCCTAGGCCTAGTGCAGATAAAACGATGAAATCGAGCCTTCAGGCCTCCAACAACAAAACATAAGGTGGCTGACAGTTATTTCAACTGAAGTTGATTCCGTTTACTACGGTTATGTCATTATAAATCTTACCTGCATACTTTACAACGCTTTCTATTAATTTAAAAGATGTAGTCACTGGTCAGTCCCAAATAACATCCATCAGTTTATAATAAGGAACATCACTCCTGTCAGTTTTTTCACATTCCATTGCCACGAAACTTCCGGTCAGTTAAATCGAAGTTATCCCCCTTTGTGAAGTCAACCATTTCCTGTTCTTCTCGCGTCATTGGTTACACTGTACTTTCCCATCAAGATGACCACGATTGTATGCAGATAAAACTGCAAGGCGTCCACGTGCTACTTGTACAAGCCACGGTATATCGCATTTTTGTTATAAATCTGCAATGTAATTCTATATTCAAAATATATGTACTACCTGCAAAGTTGACAACACATGCGGTCATGCCTGCACTGTCACCCCAACTAAATATAATAAATTATGTGAGGCCGGAACGACTAAGAATACGGGGACGGAACTACTAAGGTCGGAACGACTATGGACGGAACAAATCGGGGCCGGAGCGACCTGTATTTATCTTGCCGTATGCATGCATATATATTCATTGGATATATATCATTCATTGGATAGTCAAGGGAACATACAAATGTATGATTAATAAGAGTAATTGTACTGAACTCTATATAATGTGCAGAAAGCAAACTCAATAAGGGTTACATTTCGAAAAATGTGCCATTAAATTGTTCATAAATTCATAAAGTTTGATCAATTCAAGTATCAAAAGTGTAGTTAATAAGGGGAGGGTTTTGGGTGCAAAATATATTGAGTATAAGTTTAATTTATTCCGTGGCAATACACTGCCAGTAGCTAGTGCACGCAGTTAGTAACTTACCTGTATTTATTCGTTAGAAAGTATTGAACTGTGACATTGTCAGGTCATTTCTGGGTGACTGGAGTTGACCCTGTCGTGCGGTGTATTGACTGGATAGTCGATAACATGCCACAGATAGGTTTGCACGAGCACGTGCATTTCGGGTGTGTGGGCTAGTGTATAAATACAGTCGTTGCCTGGGAATTATCGGGCAGTCGGACGGATTTGTTTCCGGAGGTGTGCCACAATATAATCCAGGTGTATAGCCTATAGCTTAGCACCGGGCGGGTGGTCATAAGGGATTTTAAGCCTATGTAGGACCTAGACCGAGGGGCGAGTTCGTGTGCAAATGTAGTGTGGAAGTGTGAGTGAAAGGAATCATCATCTGTACATATCTCATTCTCATATTAATATATATTGTTAACAGTTTATTTGGACATAATCTCTTCTTTAGCCGACATGTTTGAGTTTCATAAGTTGTGACCTACCGCACCTGGGTTGACAACATGGGGCGATTCGGGACTCAGGGACACACTAAATACAGGTTAAGTGCGTGAATTGCCCGGAGCTCCGACTCGTCCTATTACAAAAGAAAGATCCATATATTTAGATTTAATTAAATCCTTTTGTTAAACAGACATTCCAACATAAAACCATACAGTTATATGTTGTACACATTTGTTTTATCCTGTAGGTATGAGACAAGTCTATTTCAAAATAGAAAAACAATTGAATCCCACTATACAAAAATTAGTATGTATAACTTTCTTTTGTTTGCTTAAATTTCAGTGCAAGATAGGCTGACTATTATGGTGAATTTCAAAATGAAGTTCATCTAATGATGGATATCACAGAACAACTCCCCCAGGAACTGGTAGAAAAAATAATATCCTTCCTTAATGTGAAGGATATTGGAAGATTTTCCAAAGTCTCTGTTGGTTGGAGAGAGGCTGCAAACAAAGACCCAATATGGTAGGGCATCCAGCTTTTTATATTGAAATAAGAAAAAGTCAGACATGGAGGTTCCCCAATGATTGATGGTTGGTTGTCATGTTTATCTAACTTGTTTTAGTTAAATTATCAAATTGTACAAAGACACAAGTTTCACCGAGATCAGCCATCATGAGTTTAGGGACGGTACCTTTTTTCTCCCACAACATTCAGCTATTATACTAGAAAAAATCATATGTTTCTCTCGGAAGGAAATACATTATTCCTCTTTCTGATTGGGTAAACCAGAGAAGTATTATATGTCTCTGGGTAAAACCATTGCCTTAGCTACTATATGTCATCTAAATGGAAGATAACGTCACAGATATTGTTAGTTGACCATAATTAGAAGATTGACCAAACAAAAAATTCACATCCAGGGTGTTATATATCCATTCAGTGGGTAACCAAAAAAGTGTACCAACTCCTGGCAGGTTAATCCAAAGAATCAGAAGTGAGAAAACCTACAGGGGTTATGGGAGAAAAATATCTTAAATAAAGAATAGAAATAATAAAAAAAAAATCCTTTTCTTTTTTAATACAAATAAAGAGAACTCATGATAATTCTTTACAATATGTATTTATGTATTTATTGAAAAATAAACAAACCATTATTTAAAAAATTGTCAGAGCTTTCAAAGGATGAAGAAAACAATTAATGACCAAAGATTTTTTTGTTGCAGGAGTTTTAATAAGCGATTTGTAGTGCTACAGTTATTTTTTTCAAGGCAGAAAAAGTCTTTCACTTAAGTGTTGAGAATATTATGTAATTAACGCAATTAGTACATGTATGCCAAAAGTATTGTTTTCACTTTTTGATATATATATTCTTTTGGACCGAGATGGTACTTTTATGGAAAAACAATATATGTGCATTCAAAAAGAAAATACAACATTGTGAACAAAACTTGTCCAACAATGGGCACACTTATTTCAGCATATTAAATATAGCTCGAGTTTCCTCTGGCCCCGACACCAGACTTATAGACACTTTGACATATAGATGTCTGGTGTGGTACCATAAAATGTACATATAATACAGATACACAGAATTGGGTTTCATAGAGATTCAGGAAACTTATTTGAAAGCTATTATGTTTCTGTTTTCAACATACTGGCAGTATATATTAAATGTACATTTATTTTTTTACAGGTTACATGAGTGTATGAAAAATGGATGGCTCAGATATGGAGTCAAGAGTGAGATCATTAAAGCATGTTCTCTCCCACAGAAGGAAACCAACGTCTCCCTTACTTCACCTGTCTTCAGATTATTCGGTAAGATTTTCACACTTTGATAGCAGACATTTCAGCTAGTTCCAAAACTTATGTGGTTTTTTGTGTTTTTTTTAGTTATGCTGGTCTTGTGGCTTTCTGTTCTTGTGTAATTAGTCTTTGCTTTTTCCAAACTATCGAGTAAATTACAGTGGAAAACCAGGGAATTTTATTTAAGATTCAAGATATTTGTATACAAAATCAAGGTGGTATATATTCCGGCACTTACAGTCTCAATATTTCATGACGAACTCCACATCTTTTCCGTATTTTTTCCATTTGAGAAATATGGAAAAAATATATATAGAAAAATACAGAAAATGATGTCCTTTTTTTCTTCTGGAAACATGTGAAAAAATTACAGAGAAAACGTTGAGAAAATGAGGAAAAACTGAGGTTCATGCAAGTAACCTGAAGCTCTTACACTTAACATTTCCTGAACTTATCAATAAAATCTTACCAAATTACTGGTAGTGCTTTGAGCATGGGGTGATTGGAACTTCCTTTTTATTGTATTACCGAATATTTACATTATTCCACCACTGATGATAGTGGTATATAATTTGCTTTTTCTCTGTCAGTTCCAGAAGACACCAGGTTATCTCCCCTGTGTAAGTGGAAAGGCATATTTTTGCGAGTTCATCACTTGTCCATCAACTGGGCTAAAGGACGTTACACGGTTGGGCCAATTCTCCGAGGTCATAAACAGAAAGTGTCCGCCCTAGCCAGCAATGGTGAGATTTTTTATATTTTTTATCTGCATATATGTCTAGTGATTTTTTATCTGTTTACACAAAAAGATGTTGTATGATTTTGAGCTGTTACAAAGAAAGAAAACCTCAATCAAACAAAACAAAGGAAATTTTTTATAAACATTGCGAGACAGCAAAATCCGGCTTTTAAGATGACGGACCATGCAAATTGAGGATATTTGGAAAAAGAAACCTGAAAATGTAATTTGCACACCCCCAACTTCAAACTTAGTTTAAAAAAAACAAAACTTGCGCAAATAATACAAGCTCTTATGGTAATTAAGTAATGCCTTTGACATTTACAGGTACCAGTATTGTGAGTGGAAGTGACGATAAATCACTCATTATCTGGGACGTAGCTACCTGTACAGAAGTGAAAACTCTCAACATGCATTCAGATAGCATCACTGCACTTGTACTGAGGGTAGGTCATACAGGTTTCTCGTACTGAGGGTAGGTCATACAAGTTTCTCGTACTGAGGGTAGGTCATACAGGTTTCTTGTACTGAGGGTAGGTCATACAGGTTTCTTGTACTGAGGGTAGGTCATACAGGTTTCTTGTATTGATGGTAGGTCATACAGGTTTCTCGTACTGAGGGTAGGTCATACAGGTTTCTCGTACTGAGGGTAGGTCATACAGGTTTATGATTTAATTGTAGGTCATTTTAAGTGCCAAGGTCACAATAAGTATGAATCATACTGAGTTGACATCATTTTAATATAATTAAATAACTAAGAGCAAAACAATGATGTATTCAATGATCAAAAACATGAAAATAAAATTAGATACAGAGGCCAACCAGAATTTTTCTTGTCCTTTGATATCTCTTATATATCCATATTTCTTTACTTACAAATATTTAGGTTTTTTAGTGTTCGATGCTTAAAAATATTTGCCATCCTTAGTCCCTTTTGCAAAATCTGAGATATCATTCTAATACATAGGCATGACTTTGTTTTGATCAGGGGAACACGGCCATCACCGGCTGTGCAGACAGTGCTATACGTGTGATAGATATAGTCAGTGGTCAGATTATCTTCACGCTGATGGGCCACGCAGGAAGCGTAGAGCACTTGGGCATTGTGGGTAATAGTCACCTGATCAGTGCTGCTACAGACAAGTGAGTACCCTTGAAACATTATTATTAATCCCAATAATAGAACAATTTGTCTTGCTTTTTTTTCTGTTTTCTGTATTCTGAAAGCAAGTTTGTAAATTCCTTAAATTTGACCCACCTTAACATAGGGTTGTATCTTTTATTCTTTTTTAGGGGGCGGAGGGGGGGGGGGGGGGTTTTTGTAAATTTCTGTTAAAAAAATCACTCAGGAACATCACTTTATTTAATGTTGATATTCATATTTTCACTCAAAAATTGTTTTATTTGATACACATGTTTATTATAGAGTTACAATTTCACTTGTAATGTTTCTGAGACAAACCAATGTGAATGTTTTGTACTGTACCTTTTTAAGTATACACCTTTCTAACTCATTTTCATCAGAAGACTATTGACTATAGGATTACAATACAAAGTGTACCTACATTTTAATTTTTGCTTATAATTTCATGATTTTTAAAATGACAATTTTTCTCATTCTTTTGATCAATCAATTTTGTTTATAAATATCCAATTATTTGACAAATAATCATTCTGGAATTGGTATTTCTTTCAGAACTGTACGAGTATGGTCTCTACCTGACAGACAGCTGAAGTGTGTCTTCCGCGACCACACAGATGAAATTGAGGTACCTATTTGATTGATAGTGTATTTAGCATGCGTTGTATGTTACCTGTGATATTAGTTAAGCTCATGTTCGCTAATAAGCCCATCGCACCCCCTCGTTAATTAGGTTTTACACGTGAATATCATTATCTGAATAAAGTTTTTAAATAGCTCATTTAAGATTAATGAACCACAAAACCAAATCCTTTCAAATAGACAATATCATTATACCTGAGCAAAGTTTTGGGCAAAATGTAAACTATGCACATTGAACATGTTGCCCCAAATTGAAATATTTCATCTGATGATATTTGACACAGCTTAGCAAAAATCAAAACATTTGACACTTGTGTCATGCAGATACATTCTTGATATTCAAGATTTACGCTCACCTCCGCTCTATACACCCCTGGAATATGTCAAAGCAAAATTGAAGGCACAGGGCTAGCTATTTGATTGGTGTCAGGTAAACAAACCTGACCAATCACTAGGCTGATACTTGTCCTTTGAAGATTACAGAGGAGCGATGCCGACTTCAAAGCCAGTATGTTGTACTGTTACGCGACTGAAATATTGTTTTAGCCTCCTCGTCTCATCCATAAGGTGGCGTACACTGAGCCTTTGATTTTGCTATGACATGTTCCAGGGGTGTAGAGAGCGAAAATGAGCGTAACTCCTGGATATCGAGGATGATGTTGATATATAGCAGATCGGCTATTTCAGCAGAAATACATTTTACAATATTGTTTGGCCTTGTAGTTGTATAGTTTATTCTTTTACTCAAAGAACACACTGACTGGTATTTTCATATAAGTACAACTGTACTGTGCTCATTTCACAGATTTTAGACCATGTTCACTTTGATCAATATATGGGCATGTAACATATATAATTTCACTGTAAATATATACCACATATCTTTCTTTGTTGTATAGTTTAATACACCTGTTTCATGTTGTGGTTTTATTTGTGTAACACCTGTATTTCCAGTGTATGTGTTGCCATGGTAACCTCGTTCTCACCGGGTCCTGGGATAAAACCATGTTTTTGTGGGACATTATTAAACAGAAACATATCTTTAAGCTGGAGGGCCATGAAGAAGGTATTTAATGTGTGTGAAATTGGCGTGAAGTGTGAAAATGAGAAGTTATTAATCGGTGTCCCTGTTGTTCGTTTTTTTGTTGTTGTTGAAATTGTCAAAGTGCTATAATGATAAATATATAGTTTCTAACTTAGTTGTGTGGCAGGGCCCATGATAGGTAAATTAAGCTGCACAATAAATGAAACTATGATCACCGCCAACTCATTCACCCCTGCAGACACATTTGAACTCTTCCAATTCAAAGGTTGGAATAGTTCATTATGAAATTTCGGGGGTGAATTGTGTTAAGATCCTAATGCTATTTATACAGCTCATGCAAGTAATGTAAAATGTACAGCTTACAGATGTACATGTATATTGACTTAATGCTTGGAGGCAATGTAAAACCATAGAGCCATTGATTTGAAATAGACAAAAACAATGAAATGATGTGATGATGGTTAGCTTATTATAACCTGTCTGGATAGGATTGCCTCCTCATATCATACTGTTGATATGCTATAATTACCCATTATTATTTATGCTTTACAAGTTAAGAAATGAATGCATGTCACTCAGTCAATAATTAAAAAGCTGTAGAACCATTTACAACTCCTATTTAAAGATTATAGGAAACTTCAAAATATTTACAAAGTAAATTTCAATTATGTGCAAACATTTGACAGAAAAAGTTTTAGGAATTTGATTACAACATTAAAAATGTTTATTTCTTTTTTCTTTTTTTTTGAATTTGGGCAATAGAAGGTGTAACTTTATTTAATCAACACTTTAAAAAGCACATGACATCTTTTAATTGTTAATCAAGTGCTTTGACTTAATAGCTGTCTTGATAGAAGCTTTATCAAATGGTAATATAATGTATATTGAATGGATTGCTGCACATCAGGGGGAATAACTCTTGCATGCTTCCAAGTATTTTTGCACAACACATTGATAGTTACATGTACTAGCTGCTCACTATTTTCTGAAGCTTTTTATGCTGGTGCTGTTACATTTTTATTTAATTCATTTTTATGCAAAGAACAAATATTGACATATTTAATAAAAAGAACCCCTCTTATTTCTGTCAGTTAGGTCACAAAAAAATAATGTAAAAGATGAACTCCTTCAAATATCCATAAATCCATTAAAGAAAATGGTTATAAATGTTTCAGCTGTCTAAATGGAGCAGGTGCCTTATGTAACAGACTTAATTTAATCTAAGTCTGCAAGGGTTTATCCTGACAGTTGATGCAGCTCCATCTACAACCCATTTAACATAAACTTGATAAAGTCGTAAACCTTTCCTTTAATGACAAAAAATCAGCCAGTTAAAACCTTACACAGGGTTAGACACTAACTATTTTTGCTTGGTAGTCCCCATGACTAGTTGAATATATTATTTGCTAGTCTTAATTCAGTGTTTGTAGTCCAAGATTTCCTTCAGGAAACATCTTCACCGCAAAACATTAAAAGTAACTGATTGTATAGGGGACATTAAAAAACTATACTGTTATAAAAATATGGCTAAGTTTTAGGGAAGTTTTTGATAATCATCATGCAATATATCTGTATTTCAAGGAGTTTTCCAAAAGGAATATTCTTATTTGAAAATCTATCTATCGAATGGTATTGTGATATAGCAAACTTTTTTTACAAGTCAAAGGGCCAGTAAGTTAGTTGATTCACGAGTCTTGGCTGGAATCTACAAGTCTTGGACTAGATACCTAGTGTTAGAGTCAAACCCTGAATAAAAGCTTTATTGCTGGCCTTTATCAGATGAAAATATAAAAAAAAAATCAAACTTTTTCCGTGTACATTTGAAAAAGAAGAGTCTTAATTATCAAATAATAAAGACATGTACTAAATTAAATATAAAATTTGGTATTTGAAATATATCTGTTAGCTGATAAATTATATAATTTTCTGTATAATTATATCGTTTTTATGCTTCAAACTGAATTTAGCTTTAAAATTTCAAGTTCACGAACCATATCTATTTAAATATTTCACCTGCATTATCTCCCTTTTGAATTATCTCCCCTGAATAATGTCCCTTGATCTGTTTACAGTTGTCAGTTGTTGTCAGTTTGATGACAACATTACTGTTAGTGGGAGTGCTGACTGTACTTTGAGAATTTGGAACACAAAAACGGGGGAGTGCAACCACACATTAGAAGGACACGATGGGGAGGTGGTAAGTTCTTGGAATGGCTTTCTGTTTTTGTTCTGTTCTTGATGTATTCTAAAAGATGTTGTTACTAATAATTTGAGCTATTGAAGGAGGGTTTTGTCCATACATGATGGGTTGACTTAACATTTTCGTCTCTTGCTTTTGAATAATTTACAATACTTTAGTGAACTAGGTTTTTTATCATTATCTTAATTTAAAAAGAAAGAATTGTTTTGGATAGATGTTTTATATCTAAATGATTTTTTTTAATATCTATTGTTCTAAATACATTTTGAATATTTTGGTGAAATATTTTATGGTTTTAAAAAGAATAGACAAAAATTCAGGATTGGAACTTAAAGGGGCTGGTCGGCGAAAAATGTCATATTTGCTAAAATGGCATACACATGTTTAAAATACCTTCTTATGAAATATACCGATTCAAATTTTGCTGAAATTCACTTCATAAGAGTAAAAATTATAATTATATTAAAGAAATCCAAAATCGTCACCTGACAGTCTAAAACTCTCAATTGACCCAGATCAGTGATGTAATTTTACCGCACGCGCGTCATCAACAAGGCCAAATGTAAACATTGCGGTGAAAGAAAAAGATGCATGCAAAAGTCATGACAGGCAAGAAGTATCAATAATGTTATGTATAACAACAACATATATGTAGGAATACTACACTTGCATCATACATGACCTTTGAAAACAATTATTTACGTATAGTATTGCTGTCTTGTCCGCTAGTTGAGTCCGACATGGCACATGAGGGCATGCTATTGTTGTTATCTTTACTGCCTCACTTTCGAAACAACCATGTGACATATATAAATAGATCTGAGCTAAATTTACGCGGGGCTTCCCCGAGATTTTAGTGGTCAAAACTGGACATTGCAAGCAGAACTCGACCATCATATTGCCGTGGTATAACTTTTGGGAGGCCAGAGAACGCATTTAGACCCATTTATTTTGTAATTTTTTCCCCGACCAGCCCCTTTAAGTCATATCAAAGGTAATGCCTGTTTCTTTTAAATCCATTTTTTACATTTATTTGTTACAACAAAATTGATTTAAAATTAAATGAAAAAAGAAAATACAAAATAGATAAGAAAAACATATGACTGCTAAATGCAATCATGTAGTTTTCCTTTGATACATATGTTATGGATAGTATACATGCAGTGGGAGACAAAAAACACCCAAAACAGGCCCTTTGGGCATTTTTGTTATCACTGCACACATTATCTTTGAAAATAGGCAGTGTTTTATAAACAAGTGCAGCAAATGTTTCTTTTAAATAACTATATATGCCTCTGGTAGATTGCAATAAAATCTAATTACAAAGGAGAGATAGGAAGTGAAATAAAAGGCCACCAACCAGGATTGACTTTATATTGAAACGCTGGGATGATAAGACATTGAAGATGAAGAATCATGTTTTATAGATACAGCTTATTTGACAAAAACCATACTCTCTGCCAAAGCTCCTGGGTATTTCTCATTGGGTGGGAATGAAATCATACAAATTTGCCTCTGTACCAAAATTATATCTTGTGATTGCTATATGTAGAATATTTTTTAAAACCTTTTTTGTACTGTGTATAATAATTCATAGCTTATGAATTTTCGCTCAATGTGAAATTGTTAAAATTTTACATCAGCATTTTTTTGGTCAAAGACCATATATTAAACATGTATCAACAATTGAAAATATTGGGATTTTAGTCTCTTGTATTCATCAGTGATGTTTTCTATTTTGTCTCAATATGGAAAGAACTAAGAAGTTTTTCATATTTCAACATTTATATAAAAATCTCTCTATTGATTAATTTGATTGTTTTTTATTTGAATAGAAAAGCATATATTATAGTTTCGTTTTTACAAATATAATCCTTTTGTATTTGTACAGTACTGCTTGGTATACAATAAGGAGCTGATAGCCTCAGGATCCCAGGACAGTACCATCCGACTCTGGTCCCATACAGGTAGGTCATACCAGTCTCATACAGTTAGGTCATACTGGTCTCATACAGGTAGGTCATACTGGTCTCATACAAGTAAGCCATACTTAGCTTACTCAAGTAAGTCATACAGGTCTCATACATCTTAGTCATACTGATCTCATACAGGTAAGTGTACAGGTCTCATACAGGGAAGTCATACTGGTCTCATACAGGTAGGTCATACTGGTCTCATACAGGTAAGTCATACTGGTCTCATACATGTAAGTCATACTGGTCTCATACATGTAAGTCATACTGGTCTCATACAGGTAAGTCATACTGGTCTCACCCATATATGTCATGATGGTCTCATTACACAGGTAAATATCACCCAGATATGTCATGTTGGTCTCATTACACAGGTAAATATCACCCAGATATATCATTTTGGTCTCATTACACAGAAACATCTCACCCAGATATGTCATGATGGTCTCACAACACAGGTAATTCTCACCCAGATATGTCATGATGGTCTCATTGCAAAGGTAAATCTCACCCAGAGGAGTCATTGTGGTCTCAGTATACAGGACAATCTCCCCTAGATATGTCATGATGGTCTCATTACACACTAGGCAAATCTCACCCAAATATTCCATGATGGTCTCTTTACACAGGTAAATCTCAACCAAGTGAGCCATGTATGTCTCTTTACACAGATAAATCTCAGGTAGGCAGCTTTGGTCATGATTGTCTCTAGCTCAGGAACTTATTGAGTCGGGATACTTTTACGTAGGTAGGACTCGCACAGACATTCAGGTATAGGGTCCCAGGACACTTAACTTTGAAGCATCTTAAAGTATAAGGCCATAAAATAAATATTATATACATTCTGAGTGTAACCTAGCTTCATGTGTAAACATTTAAATTGTTTTCTTAAAACAATTCTTGAGAAGATGACAAAAAATCGAATCATCTGGTTCATATTTATCTTATCGGTATGACATAATAGATTAACTATAACTTCGTAAATAGTTCTCAAGCAGGGAGGAGGGGAGGCAGTTAAAGTAGGACACCACAGTGTCTGATGTACTTCCTGAATTGGAGGCAAACAATCTGACAGTTCGGACATGTAAATCAGCTGTGTTTGGCATGTATAAGGTAGACATGTGTTCCTCCCGAGGAAGGTCGGGACCCCCTCAAGCATCAGCAGCAGGTCCCCCCTACTGTGCAAACCCTAACATACCATTAGAAACAACACATGCCCTGCTGTTGTTTAAAGAGCAAAGTATGTCTAAAATACAAATTGTATTTTAATGATACAAAGTTTTTTCCTTTTTCTGCCTGCAGATAATTTTGACAGAGAAAATTAAATATGCTTCAGAACATATGTGCAGTTTTTGATTGTTTTTGTATCAAGAAACTTATCTTTATTTCCAATGCATGTCTTGAGTATTCTGTAAATAGCTGAGCAGAATATTCATATATTTTATGGCACAAAAATCTCTGAGCAGTTCTCAGCAGGCAATTTTCATTGCTAACGAACAGATACCATTTTGAAATGTTTTATACAACACTATACAATGCCTGTAGTGTGCATGTTGAAGTCTTTACTTTACTTTTATATGCAAAGCATGTACACTTTTTTTTAGTTTGCAAAGAAAGCAAATATTTATATTCAAGTAAAACAGAGATATGATATAAACTTCATATCAGAAGTATAACCATAATGTTTTGCTCTGTGAATTATCTGCATGTGATGTAAAATTTGAGATAGCAGCTGGGAAAGATCTTTTGAATTAAATGTAGAAGATTGTGTTCATGATACATCACCATAAGTGTCAAACATCCAGACGACTAAGTTTTTAAGATAAAATGTTATGAATTTCTCTAGCATAAACAGTGTTAGGACCTTAAGTATTTTGAAAAGTTGAGTCCCAAGCTCGGGTAATAAAATTGATTTCACAAGGGAATAAAAGGTATATGTTGGAGTCGCTTTTAATTCTATTGCTTCATGTCATATATATATGGTTTTAATGCAATCTTTGAGGAAGCTAGATTTAGATGAAAGGTGTTTGGTTTTAATACCACTTAAAAGATGACAGGCAGTCGGATACAAGAGATAGGATTATCATTGAAATGTGTCGACACAAGTTTTGAGGATAATCATGTTTCTTATTGGCATACAAAGGTTTTTACATTTAATTTGACACATCTGTCTATAATCTTAATTTGTATCATGTTTGAAGTGAACAATTAATTGATGATATACTAAGTTCAATCTTTATACATGTAATACCATTTAGTACAAGATGTAAAACCTGTCTTAATCAAAACCTTTATAATCTATAAACCTGTGTATATCAGATAATTAACTTCTCCAACTGATTTTCTTGTGTGATCCAAAAAACTGCTTCAAACAGAAATCAGATAAAAGTGGCCATTCATCCATGGGGAGACAACTTTAGTTTTAAGTATCATACGTATATACACTGTTCATGTTTTCCCTGAAATTCACCCACACGTTAAATTTTTAAATTGACAAATCTCTATATATATGCAAACAAACAGCCTCTTAGAGCTATAAAATTATTCCCAAAAAATTCAATATCTATACAGTATATAAAAGATATCTTTTGAGCGTATCAATGTTTGCATATAAGCAAGATTAAGACTGTACAGTATCAAAAACAATTTGGGGGGATCTTAGTCTGAATATCACAAACATTCCTTAACTTTAAGAAAAAATTCTTAGCTTAAGGTTTCTATAAGAAAGCATTTCTAAGTTTGTGAAAAATTCCTTAGCTTAAAACTTTTACTTGTGTCCATCATGATCAGTTTCATATGGAGAAAAAAAACATGAGGAATTTTCTTGAAGTAATTAAGGAGCTTTCGTGAAACTGGAGCTTGTTCAAAAATTAAAAAATCTTAAAATACATCTAGAAATTTAAAAACAAAAGTTAACGTCTTCACAACATCCCATAACACAGCAATAAGTAGGAGTGGAAACCATGAAACAATATGATAATTTGTTATTCATGTGGAAGAAATCAGCGTTATTCTCTATTACAAGATCCCGACATCTATCAACACCGCTTGGCTCCCATGTTTTACAGCGTTTTTCTGATTATGTTTTCAGCAGATGTCTTGTTCAGATTGATATTCCATTGTTTTTTACTGCTTTTAAATCTGCTCCCCTTGTTGCTAGCCATTTTGCATCCATTTTTTCCGCAACGATGAATAGTTTTTATCCATCCCCCCTCCTGTGAGTGTAGCCGGTATTATATAAACTCATGTCATTTGCTACAAAAGTTTTCTATTTGCACCGCAAGACCAGATGACTCGGGGGGGCTAATGAAACATGTGTGTAATATTACGGAAGCAGACGTCATACGGCATCTTCTGCTAGGGCGAATTACATACATATGTATATGTAGTGCTGTCATTTCTATAAGAGCAGTATAGTAGCCTCATTAGAGGTAAATTGGCCATGTCCAACGTTAACCCCCCGCTTATATCCACAGCCACCAGGGGGTCACATGTTAAAGATACCCCATCCCTCGTGACGGAGTGATTGACAGGTAGTGATATTCTCGTTTAAACATGGTTTTTAGCCCGCCACACATTAGTAGTTCTAAGTATGTTTTGGAGTAGGTCACCATAAAGTTTGAATACCTATAAAGATACACTTGTCCAATGCTTAATTTTCAAGAATAAGTACTTTCAGTGTATATGTAAACAATGGAATTTTGTTAATTAGATTAACTACCATTAAAAAGAAAATGCCAAGATGAATGAACATTTTGTTATACCTGGTAATTTTATTCATTTTCTGACCTTCAGCCGGCATTTTGTTTTTAAATATTTTCTTTAAAAAATTAATACATGTTATACTTTAAAAAAGTACAAATAAGTCAGAAGAAAAGTTTCTCTTGATTTCACATTTTCCTTAATATAATGTTTTCTTCTGACATTGAATGGCATGATATTAAGAGAAATGTTCTGTATTGAGTTCTTTGTAATTATTACAGTACCAGTATATAATATCTACTAAATTAGAAATAAGCTTTTTTTGCTTTCTCTGTTCAAGATAGGTGCTGGGCAAAGCATTTATTTATTAAGAATACAATAAAAAATAGTTGCATTTAATAGTACATGTATTGAAGTTTCACATCAAAAGATTTAACTTTGAATCAAATCAAATAGTACATGATAAAACTATTTTTTTGTATATTTGTTGAAGGGAAAAATATCTTAAATTTTCCATGAAAAAAATCATTTATTTAGAAAATTAATATTTTTTAGATTTTTTTCTATTTACCAAATAGTGTAGATTTTATAACTGACTTCTTTTCCTGTCTCCAAAAATTTAAGGACATTAACCGTACGCAGATCCTTAAACATATGCATGACGATGTTGTTTTACAAACAAGCTCATTCCTGTTATTGCTTTACATCTTAAATATTTCCACCGGAATTTGTTGTGTGTTCGCATGAGGTGTTACGGAATGAAAACACTTTTAATACTGTGTTACAATAACAGCTTCGGGGAAAATGGCACAATATGGTGGGATAGATAAGTATACTTAACTGCTCAAATATCGCTGCCATGTTATATCACACACACAAAAATTAAAAAATTCACCAAAATTTGTTTAGCCATTGGGACTTAAATAATGTTTTATAAATTAAGTTAACAAATACTTTAAAATTTGAACAGATTTAATACAAAGTTTAATACATAGTAACTTACAATGTTTAGATACTCAGACATTATTTTAAAATTTATGATTGTTAGATTAAGACCTGCAATCAACCTGCAGTATTATTATTATTATTATTATTATTTTTTAAATTACAACAATTATGAAACAAGTTCTATCAACTGATATCAATCATTCTTGTTGGTCTGAATGGTAGCATGCATCATGGGGTCTTAAGATAGGAGGAAACCAGAGTACCTGAAGAAAACCTATAGAAAAAGTGACCCATGCCAACCCTATTTGTGCTGATGGGGTATAATTCCCCAATCAAATATAAAATATTGCAGTATACACCCCTAGCTGTACATAAAAACTTAAATTGTAAAAGGACTATTAATACAACACAATGTATATTAATTCACCTACAAACATGTCTTTGAGATTATTTCAGTTGTCCTAACAGAACTTCTTTAAATTCACTACATATGCAATGAAAATCTATTTTATTTATATTTCTAGAATTATCAGAAATCAGATAAATGAATTATAGATTAATGCTGTATGACTTCAAAGAAAATTTCACCACTGAAAATTCTATCAGAATCAAAGCTAGGTAAATGTAGTCTTAAACAGAACATTTATATGATTTGGTGACCAATTTATTCAGGTGTTAAAAGCAATCTTAAAGTATATATCCATTCATGATCATGAGAATTGATCAAATCTATGAATGGGGAAATATGATAGTGCTTAATTTGCATGAAACTCGGTTGTTTGAATTGTTGGCAGCTTAAATTTTTTTCCTGAAATTGACAAAGTTTTAACTAAATTTACTTACATTGAGACCTGTTTCATCTGGAACTAAAGAGAAAATAGAATAACTTACATATTTGGGGACGTTTAAGAAAAATAATGGATTTTGAATACATTTTTAAAATGTAGATATTTATTGGTAAGCTGACACATCATTTTTATGCAAACTTTGCTTTGTAGAAATACAGTCAACAGGAAACATATTTTAACATTATGGGATGTACGAAATGTATTTTGGATGAGTCATATTGCAGCAATATGGTTTAAAGTATTCAGTTTTTCTTCTGAATAAAATTAATTCAGATAAGATTATTATTGGGTGGGAGTGCACCACGTTTTCGATTTTATAACCATTCCACTTCTTTTTCGAGACAAAGACTCGAATGAAATATAACAAAGAGATAAACATGTTATGCTATCAGCTGTGATTGTGATGTAGAAGTGCATTTTCATGTTCAAACACATTTTGTTAACTTGTGAAATATGTCTACATTTGACTTAATTAACATCGGTGCAAAGAAATCTATACTGAAGCATTAACTAACACCAATCACTTCAGTGTGAGAAATTACTCTACCAAGAATGTTACTTATTGCAAAACATCACACACAAGCTGCAGAAGAGTATGTTTCTGTGCCCTACAGGTTCTCAGTCATTGTGAAAGTTAAAAATAAGGAATACACTTTAAAAAAAACACTTTCCATGTGGAGCATTTTTTTGATGCCGTAAACACATATATTGTTTAAATCTTTTCAGCTACTTGTCAAAATTCCCAACATGTTTCCCCATAAACCATTAGGTGACGGAGTTTGTCCCAAAAACATCTTACAAAGCTTTTTCGTTCTTGAAATACTCATGTGTTTTCCTAAGTACATAATGCTAAAATATATAAATAAAGTCTGTGGTGGATCTCGTGTATTTCAAGTTTGGATTAGCGGATTTTTCAGAAATAAGAAAATAAGGAAAAGAATTTATGATTTTCTGTATGATAGGGTAGCAATGGGGCTAACATTTGTAAGTTTGTTTTTCTTTTTTAACATTAAGTCACTCGCCACTCAATCTTTATTTATGACAAGTTGGATGAAATCATTAAAAGGGATTTAAAGGGTAAAGTTTTGATTTTGGCATTTGCTCTTTTTGTTTCAGGAAAATGTCTACATGTGCTAACGGGTCATTTGGGTGTGGTCAGATGTCTCCATATTAATAGCCAGCGACTGGTCAGTGGAGGTGACCAGAAAAAGATTGGCATCTGGGACTATAGGGTAGGTACAAGTACAGGGAAGAGATGACATATCTGATCATGTTAAATGGTAGATATGAGTTACTGTAGAGTAAGCTAGGTATGACATCTAGAGCTACTGAAGGGTAGATATAACATCTGAGGGCTACTGTAAGGTAGATATGACATGTGGAGCTACTGCAGGGTAGATATGACATGTGGAGCTACTGTAGGGTAGATATGACATGTGAAGCTACTGTAGGGTAGATATGACATCTGGAGCTACTGTAAGGTAGATATGACATGTGGAGCTACTGCGGGTAGATATGACATGTGGAGCTACTGTAGGGTAGATATGACATGTTGAGCTACTGTAGGGTAGATATGACCTGTGGAGCTACTGCAGGGTAGATATAGCATGTGTAGCTACTGCAGGGTAGATATGACACGTGGAGCTACTGTAGGGTAGATATTACATGTGGAGCTACTGTAGGGTAAATATGACATATGGAGCTACTGTTGGATAGATATGACATGTGGAGCTACTGGAGGGTAGATATGACATGTGGAGCTACTGCAGGGTAGATATAACATCTGGAGCTACTGCAGGGAAGATATGACATGTGGAGCTACTGTAGGTTAGAGACATGTATGACATTTGGAGCTACTGTAAGGTAGATATGACATTTGGAGCTACATATGACATGTGGAGCTACTGTAGGGTAGATATAACATTTGGAGCTACTGTAAGGTAGATATGACATATGTAGCTACTGTAAGGTAGATATGACATGTGGAGCTACTGTAGGGTAAATATGACATGTGGAGCTACTGTTGTGTAGATATGACATGTGGAGCTACTGTAGGGTAGATACATGTATGACATTTGGAGCTACTGTAAGGTAGATATGACATGTGTAGCTACTGCAGGGTAGATATGACATATGATGCTACTGTAGGGTAGATATAACACCTGGAGCTACTGTATGGTAGATATGACATGTGGAGCTACTGCAGGGTAGATATAGCATGTGTAGCTACTGCAGGGTAGATATGACATATGGAGCTACTGTTGGATAGATATGACATGTGGAGCTACTGTAGGGTAGATATAACTTGTGGAGCTACTGTTGGGTAGATATAACATGTGTAGCTACTGTTGGGTAGGTATAACATGTGTAGCTACTGTAGGGTAGATATAACATCTGGAGCTACTGTAGGCTATATATGACATGTGGAGCTACTGTTGGGTAGATATGACTTGTGGAGCTACTGTAGGGTAGGTATAACATGTGGAGCTACTGTATGGTAGATATGACATGTGGAGCTACTGTAGTGTAGATATGACATGTGGAGCTACTGTAGGGTAGATACATGTATGACATTTGGAGCTACTGAAGGGTAGATATGACATGTGGAGCTTTATAGGGTAGATATGACATATGGAGCTACTGTTGGATAGATATGACATGTGGAGCTACTGCAGGGTAGATATAACTTGTGGAGCTACTGTAGGGTAGATATGACATTTGGAGCTACTGTATGGTAGATATGACATGTGGAGCTACTGTAGTGTAGATATGACATGTGGAGCTACTGTAGGGTAGATACATGTATGACATCTGGAGCTACTTTAGGGCAGATATGACATCTGAGGGCTAATGTAGGATAGATATGACATCTAAGGCTACTGTACGGTAGATATGACATCTGCAACTACTGCAGGGTAGATATGACATATGGAGCTACTGTTGGGTAGATATGACATGTGGAGCTACTGTAGTGTAGATATGACATTTGGCGTTACTGTATGGTAGATATGACATTTGGAGATACTGCAGGGTAGATATAACTTGTGGAGCTACTGTATGGTGGATATGACATCTGGAGTTACTGTAGGGTAAATATGACATGTGGAGCTTATGTTGGGTATACATCGTATATGACATATGGAGATACTGTAGGGTAGATATAAAATCTGGAGCTACTGCAGGGGAGATATGACATATGGAGCTACTGTAGGGTAGATATGACATTTGGAGCTACTGTATGGTGGATATGACATATGTAGCTACTGTAAGGTAGATATGACATGTGGAGCTACTGTAGGGTAGATATGATTTCTGGAGCTACTGAAGGGTAGATATGACATGTGGAGCTACTGTAGGGTAAATATGACATCTGGAGCTACTGTAGGGTAGATATGACATTTGGAGCTACTGTATGGTGGATATGACAAAATAACATCTGGAGCTACTGTAGGGTAATGTGGAGCTTATGTTGGGTATACATTGTATATGACATATGGAGATACTGTAGGGTAGATATGACATGTGGAGATACTGCAGGGTAGATATGACATGTGGAGCTACTGTAGGGTAGATATGACATTTGGAGCTACTGCAGGGTAGATATAACATCTGGAGCTACTGCAGGGTAGATATGACATGTGGAGCTACTGTAGGGTAGATATGACATGTGGAGCTACTGTAGGGTAGATATAACATTTGGAGCTACTGTAGGGTAGATATGACATATGATGCTACTGTAGGGTAGATATAACATCTGGAGCTACTGCAGGTTAGATATAACATCTGGAGCTACTGTAGGGTAGATATGACATGTGGAGCTACTGCAGGGTAGATATGACATGTGGAGCTACTGCAGGGTAGATATAACTTGTGGAGCTACTGTAGGGTAGATATGACATGTGGAGCTACTGCAGGGTAGATATGACATGTGGAGCTACTGCAGGGTAGATATAACTTGTGGAGCTACTGTAGGGTAGATATGACATGTGGAGCTACTGTAGGGTAGATATGACATTTGGAGCTACTGTATGGTAGATATGACATGTGGAGCTACTGTAGGGTAGATATGACATGTGGAGCTACTGTAGGGTAGATATGACATGTGGAGCTACTGTAGGGTAGATATGACATGTGGAGCTACTGTAGGGTAGATATGACATGTGGAGCTACTGTAGGGTAGATATGACATGTGGAGCTACTGTAGGGTAGATATGACATGTGGAGCTACTGTAGGGTAGATATGACATGTGGAGCTACTGTAGGGTAGATATGACATGTGGAGCTACTGTAGGGTAGATATGACATGTGGAGCTACTGTAGGGTAGATATGACATGTGGAGCTACTGTAGGGTAGATATGACATGTGGAGCTACTGTAGGGTAGATATGACATTTGGAGCTACTGTAGGGTAGATATGACATGTGGAGCTACTGTAGGGTAGATATGACATTTGGAGCTACTGCAGGGTAGATATGACATGTGGAGCTACTGTAGGGTAGATATGACATGTGGAGCTACTGTAGGGTAGATATGACATGTGGAGCTACTGTAGGGTAGATATGACATGTGGAGCTACTGTAGGGTAGATATGACATGTGGAGCTACTGTAGGGTAGATATGACATGTGGAGCTACTGTAGGGTAGATATGACATGTGGAGCTACTGTAGGGTAGATATGACATGTGGAGCTACTGTAGGGTAGATATGACATGTGGAGCTACTGCAGGGTAGATATGACATGTGGAGCTACTGTAGGGTAGATATGACATGTGGAGCTACTGTAGGGTAGATATGACATGTGGAGCTACTGTAGGGTAGATATGACATGTGGAGCTACTGTAGGGTAGATATGACATGTGGAGCTACTGTAGGGTAGATATGACATGTGGAGCTACTGTAGGGTAGATATGACATGTGGAGCTACTGTAGGGTAGATATGACATGTGGAGCTACTGTAGGGTAGATATGACATGTGGAGCTACTGTAGGGTAGATATGACATGTGGAGCTACTGTAGGGTAGATATGACATGTGGAGCTACTGTAGGGTAGATATGACATGTGGAGCTACTGTAGGGTAGATATGACATGTGGAGCTACTGTAGGGTAGATATGACATGTGGAGCTACTGTAGGGTAGATATGACATGTGGAGCTACTGTAGGGTAGATATGACATGTGGAGCTACTGTAGGGTAGATATGACATGTGGAGCTACTGTAGGGTAGATATGACATGTGGAGCTACTGTAGGGTAGATATGACATTTGGAGCTACTGCAGGGTAGATATGACATGTGGAGCTACTGTAGGGTAGATATGACATGTGGAGCTACTGTAGGGTAGATATGACATGTGGAGCTACTGTAGGGTAGATATGACATGTGGAGCTACTGTAGGGTAGATATGACATGTGGAGCTACTGTAGGGTAGATATGACATGTGGAGCTACTGTAGGGTAGATATGACATGTGGAGCTACTGTAGGGTAGATATGACATGTGGAGCTACTGTAGGGTAGATATGACATGTGGAGCTACTGTAGGGTAGATATGACATGTGGAGCTACTGTAGGGTAGATATGACATGTGGAGCTACTGTAGGGTAGATATGACATGTGGAGCTACTGTAGGGTAGATATGACATGTGGAGCTACTGTAGGGTAGATATGACATGTGGAGCTACTGTAGGGTAGATATGACATGTGGAGCTACTGTAGGGTAGATATGACATGTGGAGCTACTGTAGGGTAGATATAACATTTGGAGCTACTGCAGGGTAGATATGACATTTGGAGCTACTGTATGGTAGATATGACATCTGGAGTTACTGTAGGGTAAATATGACATGTGGAGCTTACGTTGGGTAAACATTGTATATGACATATGGAGATACTGTAGGGTAGATATTACATCTGCAGCTACTGTAGGGTAGATATGACATGTGGAGCTACTGTAGGGTAGATATGACATGTGGAGCTACTGTAGGGTAGATATGACATGTGGAGCTACTGTAGGGTAGATATGACATGTGGAGCTACTGTAGGGTAGATATGACATGTGGAGCTACTGTAGGGTAGATATGACATGTGGAGCTACTGTAGGGTAGATATGACATGTGGAGCTACTGTAGGGTAGATATGACATGTGGAGCTACTGTAGGGTAGATATGACATGTGGAGCTACTGTAGGGTAGATATGACATGTGGAGCTACTGTAGGGTAGATATGACATGTGGAG